CGCTGCCTCGGGGATCTTGAGGCGGATCTGGGGATCTGGGGGAGGAAGGGCAGTGGGGATGGGCGCGGATGCTCGGCCACATATGGTAAGCATTAGCTGACTTTATGGGGTGAACTAAGCGCTCTGCAGCTGAGAGGCCAGGATTTTTGTTGGAGGGAGGGTGGAGACAGTCTGATACTACTGAGGAGCCTGGGGTAGGGGTCTGTGATGGTGATGGGGTGAGGTCATTTAAGAGGGGCAGAGATCACCGGACGGGGAGTGTCCCAGCACTGTGCTGACATCCCCTCACACCACCACCACCAAAAATAAATAAAAACTACTTGTTGCAGACTGCTCTGTTTTGTGTTGTGTGTCTATGATCCCAGCCAAGACAGTCCCCAGGTGGGAGCGTGGGGGATGGAGTGGGGGGTGGGGGGTGATTGGGAGCTCAAAGCTCTGGTTTGCAGAGCCTTTGTGGTGAGCTGGCTCAGTACCAAGCTCCCCGTACACCTCCCTTATCAAGTCTCCCCAGTGAAGCGAAAGTGGGGAAACTGAGCCTCAGTCATAGTGGCCAAATGGAAAATGGTTGGGTTCCGAGTAGGAATTACTAGCCCTCAGTCAACTCCCTTCCCATACCTGCTATGAAAAAGGGCAACGATGACGCCCAAAGGTGCCCCTTTTCCTGAGAACGTAGTCACCCCGCATGGATAGGACTGGGCTTGGGGTGGGGCTACTTTTGCCAGCCAGTGTGGGCTTCTTCAAAGGAGCAAGGTCACGGAAAACCCTGCGGGGGGAGGGGGGGGAGGGGGAAGGTGAACAATGCTTGCTATGTGTTAGGCATTTATGAAGAGCTAGTCCTGGGTGATATAACACCGTCCCACTCACCAAGCCACTGTTATTGATCCAGATGGGGAAACTGAGGCATACAGAGGTCAGGTCAACAGCTCCAGTCCTGTCTTCACCTCGAAGCACATCTGCTTTGCTCAGGAGATGGGGTGGAGGTGGAGAGTTGAAGGTCTAATTGTGGGTTTGGACTCTGTTCTACTCTTTCAAGTTGTGAAATGTAAGCAAATGGATGACTGATGTTCCTGGAAGAAGTTAGGAATAATTCCCATCTCACAGGGCTGAGGCAAGAAAAGTGAGCTAATTCACACTTAAGAAATGTTGGCCTCCCTTTCTCTAATCCTGAGTGGTAACTGCTAAGTCTGGTCTACGCTTAACCTTTTCCTATCCCACAGCAGCATGCTCCCATACTGTCCACCCATACAGTATTCATGAGTACAATTCAGCTTCTTGACTTCCAGGCGCTCCAAAAATGCCCACAGCCTCTTTGTGTTTTATTTTGTGCAGTTAGCAGAAAACAATTTGTGGGAATTTACTTGAAAACTGGAAAAACCAAGTCAGTATATGGTAGGTTGTGAGAGATCAAAGATATCACAGTTACTCAAAGAAGATAGAAGACCCCTCTGGGAAAAATTTTTTATTCCTGTTTCATTCTGGGGAAGGTAAAGCTCTGTTATCTTTTCCATTCTGCACTTGAAAAAATGAAACCAGAAAATTTTATGCATGCAAACCAACCATGTCAAAGCCAGTAGAAAACCCAGCTCTCCTGTGTTCTGATCTGGTATCTCCCCTTCCAAATCTCCCCTTCCACCACCCCACTTCGCCTTTTTCAGAACCTGGCAGTTCATATTTTGAAGACTATATTGGGCAATATTCTTCCTCAAAAAACAAAATAAAACAATCATATGGAGAAAAGACTGAAGGAGCCAACACTAGAAAGAATTGCTAACCAGGTCAGCGCGGAAATATTCCTGCCCAAAAGACCACTTAATCTTTCACCCTGCCCCACAAGGCTGTGAGAACATTTCATACTATGCCTTAAAGTTCTTCAGCCACGTATTCTCGAAGGCCAGGAGGTGGATGGATGTTGCTCCATGAATGCTGACTCATTTTCTTTTTTAAAATGAGCTGTGTCAGTCTCTTACTTTCCAGAAGACGAAGTTGGAGTTTAAGGAGAAAGAGAAGCAAGTTTGCAAGCACGTGGCCATTTAAGTGGAGTTAGAATAATCACTCCCTAAGACCACCAATGTTTTCCCCTTGCCACAGTTAAAGCCTGGCTCCTTCTGGTGGAATCCAAAGACCATCAACCTCACCGGGTGAAATCGGAAATATATTCCCCGACCAATTTGCAGTTACTGGATTACAACCTTAACAAACCCCTTAACAACACTTCTTGGTGACTCCTATTTAAGTTAAATTTGAGAGTCGCTAATTTTCTCCCTCATGTCTTAGGAATTAAATACTCATGATGAATATTGCACTGGTGTGTGTGTGTGTGTGTGTGTGTGTGTTCTGGTACTAGGGCTTCGATTTAGGATCCTTTCCCCTTTTTGGGTCTCAAATGTTTGCTCAAGATCAGCCTCAGAACAAAACCTTACTATCTATATTTTTACATGGTACTATGGATTGAATATAGGGCCTTACACCTTCCTTACCACTTAAATCAAGTCTCTAGCCATCTACCCTCCTACTTCTGTGGCCAGTGTAGATAGGATTACAGGTATATAATTACCATGTCCAGCTAGTTTGTAGAGATAGGATCTCACTAACTTCTTTGCCTGGCCTGGCCTCAAACTTCCATCCTCCTATCTCTGCCTCCTGTTTATTCTTCTGCCTCTTCTTAGAGGCATGAGATACACCCCCAAAAATCTATATAACAGAATTGTTTTTTTAGTTTAAGAGGAAAATATAAAACTTACTAAAATATCAATAGATTCCACTATATAAATCAAACTGAAACCATCTTTATTTTCCTATAGAAAGAAAGTGGAAAAAAGTATTATTATCAAATATCTCTAAATGTAATATCTCTTGTCTATATCTACATATAGACAAGCCCTATAGAAATATAAACAAAAAACATGAACAGGTAAGACTTGGAGATATTCTAAAGAAACATTCAATGGAATACACAAAGAAATTGATCCAAAAGATGGCACACTGATAGTTTATCACGGTTTCAAAGGACTGAAAATGGCACGTGTAGGCAGGGTCTGCAGAAGTGAATATTCATGTATTCTTGATGGAAATATCTCTTCTGGAAAAGAGTCCAGAACCCATGGCTAAACCTCAAATATGAATTGCCATAGGGAGGGAGTCTTGCCATTTTACTAAAGTAGAGCAACCTGTGTACAAATATGTCCATTGTAGCATTGCTCATATTAAAAAACAAAAAGGTACCAAAGAGACAGGCACTGGTGGCTTGCACCTGTAATCCTAGTCACTCTGGAGACTAAGATCTCAGCATCACAGTTCAAATCCAGCCCAGGCAAAAAAGTCCATAAGATTCTTATTGCCAATTATCCATCAAAAAGCCAGGTGAGGATCAAGTGGTAGAGTGTCAGACCTCAGCAAAAAAAGCTGCAAGAGCATGAGGCCCTGAGTTCAAGCCCCAGTGCTGTCCTTAAGCTTTTTTTGCTCAAGGCTAGCAGTCTACCTCTTAAGCCACAGCGCCACTTCTGGCTTTTTCTGAGTTTAATGGACATAAGAATCTCACACTTTCCTTCCCCAGCTGGCTTCAAACCATGATCCTCAGATTTCAGCTTCTTGAATACCTAGGATTAAAGGGTGAATCACTAGCACCCTGCTAGTATTAACATATTTAATGGAGTACACAGAGACTAGTTTCTTAAGGATACTTTGAGCACTAATCTAAACTATGGCATAACTACAAAAGAAATTTTAGATAACAGATCATTTTTATTTTACTTTTGATAATTAATTTTTAAAGTGTTAAATTGAAATTGAAGAGGCAGTTATATAAAAGCCAATCAATCAGAAAATCTAAAGTACATACTGAAAAAATATTCAACAAAACAGAAAAATCTTACTTGTTTTCTCATCATTTTCACTGTTAGTCAGAGAAACAGATCCATTTCCTTGGTTTATACTACTCATCAAAATCTGTTGTAGTTGGTCTTGTGTTAGACACACCAAACTGCTACTCATGTTTTGTTTTCAGTTCTGTCGTGTTTTTTATGAGGCTTCTCTTTAATTACTAAAGATGGATTTATGGTGTTTCCAGTCTTCTTTAGGGGTTAAAGATGATACTTCTGTTTGGATATGAAGACAGTCTTTATCTTCATACTGCTTATATAAATCCTTAGTGGGTGTAACTGTCATTCTATTCTTTTCACTTTTGGACTGTGACGTTTCTGAACCAACTGTCATCTTTTGCAAGTTTTTCACTCCAAATATAAGAATTTTGTGTTGACTTTAGAAGGTGTCCAGTGTGCTTTGTTCTTAAAGGACATTTTGTAATCTTGCTCTTATTTACCATCTGTTAAAAAAAAAACTGTTTATTTTTTTCATGTACTGCTGTCGTGGAAAAATAAACTTTTGTGGTTGTCCGTGTTGTTTGAGACAGGGTCTGATTATGCAGCCCAAGCTGGCCTAGAACTCCTAATACTTTACCTCTGCCTTTAGAGTGCTGCTATTAAGACGTGTACTACACCCTAACGATTTTCTCTTATCTTGACGTTGTAACTACCCACAACTGTAGCTTGTCCATAACCTCAATTTCAATTATTGAACGACTATCATCTAATTTTTTTCCAACTCACTTCCTGCCATATCCCAATTCCAACAATCTTCATCTGGACTAGGGTGTGTGATCTGTTGATACTACATTTCTCTGGCTCCCATTTCCCTTCTTAACAATCTTAAACCTTATTTTTCCATTTTTTGCTTTGTTTTCTGTCACAAATACTTAGCAAATCCCATCTCTGGCAAGACAACTTTACAAGTCTGTAACTTCACCCGCAGAGAAAATTAGCCATGCTAACTGGTTTCACTTAAACTTATAACCAAGAACATAAGCAAACAGAGAACCAACACACATTACACATGAAATCTATCATAATGCTAAATTTTATGCATCTGAAAACTGACAGCAGAAAGCACGGATGTCTTTTGACTTTACTTGGCTAAAATGAATTTGAAGAAGTGGGGAAAACAGCTTTTTCAATGTATCTAAATATCACTTTATTTCAAGTAAATAATATTGCTAAATATCATAAATTTTATGTAGGAATTTTGAAGTCAATATTTTAAATTTCCAGTTACACAGCATACCATATAGAGGTAATATTATCTTGGTTTTTCCATCCAGCAGTTCAGTTTCCAACTTTAAACCATCTCTGCAACATGAAAAAAGGTGTGTCATTATTAAGAAAAAGCAATGTTTTAAATAGCCTGAACTTTGAAAGTATATCTATTCCTTTGAAAATATAGGATAGGAATATTGTACATATCAGAACAGTCTTTTAATTTAAAATGTTTTTCACTCCACAGGAAAACTACAGGGAGGAAAAATTTTCTTAAAAACTTTCAATAGGCGGAAGTGGGGCTGTGGCTCAAGTGGTAGAGCGCTAGCCTTGAGCTGAAGAGCTGAGGGACAGAGCTCAGGCCCAGAGTTCAGGCCCCACGACCAGACCCCAAAAAAAAAAAAAAAAACTTTCAATAGGGACAGGGAGGTGGCTCAGTGGTAGAGCGCTTGCCTTGCATGAATAAGGCCCTAGGTTCCATTGCTCAGCACCACATAAGCAAAAAGAAAAAAGCCGGAAGTGGTGCTGTGGCTCAAGTGGTAGAACACTAGCCTTGAGCTGAAGAGCTGAGGGACAGCGCCAGGCCCAGAGTTCAGGCCCCATGACTGGACCCCCAAAAAAATTTAAAAAAAAAACAACTTTTCAATAATCCAAGAATTTGTCATCTTCAAAATGCAATCTGATTTTTATAGTTGGTAAGCAATAATTAGCTATCATACTATTTTTCTGGATCAGTTGTGGGGTTTGAATTCAGTCCCTGGACACTGTACCTGAGTCTATTCACACAAAGCTAGCAATCTTTGAGCTACACTTCCGGTTTTCTGGGTTAATTAGAAATGAGTCTCATGGACTTTCTAGGCTGGCTTTGAACTGCAATCCTCAGATCTCAGCCTCCTGAGAAGCTAGGATTACAGGAATGAGCCACCAGCAACAGGTTTCATACTATCCTTTAACTTGTAGTTCTAGACTGAAAATAAAAAATAATGCTGTTACTAAAACTCTTCAAGAAGTAGGTAATGGAACAAGGCAGATCTAGCTAACATTTATTGGTTTCATAATGATCTCTCTTGGCTAACATTCTGTGGAGTCCTGAAAATGATTGCTAATGTCACAAAGTTTTAGTTTTTGAGTATAGAGTTCCACTTTAAAAAGATATTTTGAATAATACATATTCACATTTACTAACTCTTTTGCTACTATCACGACAATACACATTGGCTACTATGACAGATCAATGCCAAAAGCATGAGCATAAAAAATGGTGGGTACTACCAACAACCCTTGTGCACCTGCTACAGTCCTACACAAAAATTACACTAGAAATAAAAGTAGCATATTGTTAAAAAAAAAAAAGTGGAGGAAAAAAAAAATGTGCCAACACTATTTTGAGACAAAAGGCAGATAGAAAACCAAATCCAGTCTCAAAAGAGAAGGGCTGGGAAAGGTCAGATTACAAAAGCGAAATTTACAGCTTTGCCCAGGTAGAGAATACAAATTTTACCTCAGTATTTGTGGGTTTTTTTTTTTTTTTTTTTTGGTCGGTCGTGGGACTTGGAACTCTGGACTTGTGCACTGTCCCTGAGCTCTTCAGCTCAAGGCGAGCGCTCTATTGCTTGAGCCACAGCACCACTTCCGGTGTTCTAGTGGTTAATTGGAGATAAGAGTCTCACGGACTTTCCTGCACGGGCTGGCTTTGAACCGCATCCTCAGGTCTCAGCCTCCTGAGGAGCTTGGATTACAGGCCTGAGCAACCGGCCTCCGGCTTACCTCAGTATTTGTTTATGGTAACCGACGCTAAAAGCTCATACCAGTAATCCTAGCCATTCAGAGGGTTTACATCTGAGAATCACGGTTCGAAGCCAGCTCAAGCAGGAAAGTCTGCGAGACTCTTATACCAATTAACAAGCAAAAAACCCAGAAGTGAAACTGTGGCTCGAGTGGTAGAGTGGCAGCCTTGCTCTAAAAATCTAAAGGGCAACTCCCAGGTCTGAACTCAACATCCTAGTACCAGCACCAAAAAAGAATAAAAATTAAAAAATTAAAGGTACTACACAGGAAAGAAGGAAGGAATTAGAAGTGTTTCTGTGGGGCAGATCCTGTTTGTGCTGGTGAAACTTAACCAAACAAAAAGAGATGTTGCCTGAAACTCCTCTCAATTCTGCACTTCACTGAGGCGTGGACTGATTTACAAATCCCTGATTGTACAGCACAGCATTCGTTCATCTGCTGCACCCGCGCGGTGAGGTCGGGTTGGTGGTTCGCAGGGATCCGCAGCGAGGCCGCTAGAGGCTGGGCGCTGTTAACTCCCGCCGGGACTCCCACGCACCAGTGCTAAGCTCCTCACCACAAGGTGAGCGAGGAGCGGGGGTCCGGGCCGGCTTCCTCCCCGCGAGGCCGCCAAGCTCGCCTCTCCAGCTGCCCCTCTCCTCCCGCTGCGTCAGCGGCGAATAACGGCACAGAAAGCGGCTCCGCGACAGCTCCCAGCAGAGGCGGGAAGGAAGCACGCGGCCTGCGGGGTGGGGAGACCGAGCGCCCTCCCCACTCCCCTCCACCCCCCGCCTCGCCACCGTGGGAGCTAGGCCCGGGGCGCCGGCGCCGAAAACCACCCAGCACCAACCTAGCCCCACTCGCGACCACCCTCTGCGCCCCGACGAACCCCAAATGCATGGCCTGACCGCCGATTCTCTTTGCTGGTCTTGTGGTGTTGTACGGTGGCCGGCTCAGCTCAACGGGCGCTATTCCGATTGGATGAGGGAGGGCTGGCGAGCTAGGAGAGAGGGCCAATCAGAATGGAGGATGCGGGTGGGTTGTTCCGCGGGGGGGGGGGGGGGGGGGGGGCGTGGAGATGTTGGGAGACCTTTGCCCTGGAAGGGGAACCCGGTGGACCGGGCTGAGCTGGCAGTTGAGACCTCTACTTGTGGCAGTTGCCTGCATTCAGTGAATACCTGAGCTTGAGTGGAATTGCTAAAACTGGGAGGAACAAAAACTGTAAATGCTTTCATTTACATTCCTTATGCCACATGTTATCTTTGCAAGATTTATTTTGGTTCAACAACCACAAGACAATGAGGCATATGATGGGTGGGTGTCCTGCTGTGAACCTGACTCAAGCTGGACACATTGTAGCTCTTTTAAAATACTGTTGCAAGAGGTTGAGGAGAAGGTTGGAAGGGATGACATGATCAAGATGCACTGTACTCAAATTGCTATGCTGAATTGAAACCCCTTTGTGTAATTAAGGATAAACGAATGTTTTAGCAGTAATCACAAGTGCTCAATAAATATAGGTGTTTGTGCACATGCACCAGACACACATCTAAGTGCTTATGGCTACGACTTAAGCCTTTATAACATCTCTGTGTCACAAGGAGGTTAAGTAACTTGCCTATGGCTACTGTCCATGGAACAATTTAACACCAGAGTCTATGTCTCCATCCAGTGTTGTGTGAGTGTGACTCATTGTAAAAATTACTTCCTTCAGGAATCCCTTCTGAAATATACGACTTGGGTAGATTATGGAAGTAGAGCAGTGACTCAACAGCTACAGATCGAGTCTTAAGTGAAAAAGCGCAGGGACAGTGCCTAAACACTGAGTTCAAGTCACAGAACCAGCAGAAAACAAAAACCAAAAATCTTGTGAAAGGATCCTTCATGTCCATTCCAGGGTACCACCGGAGGCAAGTAGGCACAGGGGAAAGATTATAAGGTTTAATGGAGGAGCCATATTTCCCCTCAGAGGAAGCACATAGCCACTGTCCCTATCCAAGTAGCAGGAGGGTCTGGGGACAGGAAGGGAGTTAGGTGGGGGCTCAGGTGGGTCTGAGCGGAGAGAGGGAGTGGCCAGCTCTAGGGCAGGAACTCCAGGGCAGGGAGGAGCTCAGGTATGGGTGGAGCTGAGGCCCAAAGGTGGTCATAATGCTAACATTTCCCCACTTTGTTGTTTAATAAAAATAGTGCTACCAGGCTGGTGGTATAGGTGGAAGTTGTTTCTTCTATAGCTACTTCCTGCTATAAAGGGGCAAAGTAGGGGTTCCTGCTTTGTTGTTGGGCCGGAACCGTCCAAGAAGCATCTGCTTGACAGTTTGGTTGGTAAAGGTCCTCTTTTTCCATGACAATAGTTATTTGAATTCCAAGACACAATAAAAGCCAAAATTGTTGTTAAAGTAAAAATTGCTGTTAGTGGCCCAAGAGAGGAATAAGCCAGGGAGGGATTGATTCCCAGAAGGAGCTATCAAAGACCTGAAATTGTCTTTTTTGTCTTGGATTGGAGACATAGCATGTACCTGACTCCCAGTCATCCTGGTGGGGGGAGTAAGACCTTTTCTACTTTAGGATCACACTAACCTGAGGAGGAGGTAGCAGAGATATTTAAAAGTTCCAGAGCCAACAGGTGTCATGGGCTCTTTTGGGTACTTCCTGATGGCCTGGGGGCATCAAGGAGTCCCTGGAGCTGGGGTCTTTAGGGTCCCAGTCTAGGCTGAGCAAGGCAGAGCAGTGCAAGTGATGTCTCTGGTTGCCTGTAGTAACAGGATGGCTTTGACTTGTTCCCAGGTGATGTCCTGGGTGGGGGATTGTTCTCCTGTTAAAAGAAACTTTTGGAAAGGCTAGACAAAAAAGCTGACAAAGTGACAAGGTCAGTTAACATGAATGACATAGGAGAACATACACTGGCCGTGGGCCAGGAAAGTTCCATTTGGAGCATAAGCTCAGTTGTGGCCCATTACAGGGAAGGAAGAATAACTGGACTCCAGGCAGGAAGGGGGTGTCTAGAGTCTTTTGGGCAACTGGGTAGGGGAGGCATAATGGACTAGTTGGGAGTACCAGTCAGAGACTACTATCAATACAAATAGCAGGTGGCAGAGGCAAGACTGTAACTTTCTGTCCAGTTAGAAGGTAGACAGGTATGGACATTGGATGGACAGGCAACTCTTTTTCTTATCTCCTGGCTCTGATTAATTTTGAAAGGATGAGTGTAAAGTGAATCTATTTAGGATATTATGTCCCCTTACTCCTCTCCATGATTTTCTGTTGTCAGGACTGACTTTGTCTTGGCTGTGTGTGGGTCGGTGGGGGGTGTGAGGGGGGGGGGGAAGGAGGGTCCTCAGCATCCATTGCTAGGATAGCTTGTCCCAGTTGGTATCTATCAGGTTTGGATTCAAGGCTTGGGCATTGTCCTTGAACACTTTTGCTGGAGGCTAGTGCTCTACCACTTAGTCACACCACTTTTAGCCTTCGGTTGGATACTGAGAGGTAAGAGTTTCCAGCCATGCCTCCAGTCTGGCTCGTTGCTGATTAGCTGGGAGATGGAGTTTTAGAGAGATTGTGCCTGGGATGACATTGAACTGTGGCAAAAGGCGTCTTTGTCACAAAAGCCCTTTTTATTTCCAATTAAAGCAACAAGGAGATCAATATAGAGGTGACCTACAACTTGTTAACAATTGACTAACAATTACTTATCAGAGTTTTGTAATAACAAAACCGAGTAGATATTTTTTAAACTGAAACTTATTGACAGTCTAAATACCACCCATTGCCTCTGGACAGCCTGCTTAAAGTGGCTTATCAACAACATTTCACTTTTAACAAATGTACAGACTTTTTCTTGAGCTACAGCAGTGTAGCCTGTTTAGCACATAATCTCAGTTCTACAAACTGTTTCCTTACCAAATGAATTTATGTGACTGGAGTCAGCTCAAGTCACTGCCAATTAGGACTTTGAACAGATACAAGGAGTTTGGGACTAAAATTATCCCTCACATTTTACAACCTTAGCTTTGGCTACCCACTCTCACAGATGACTGACACGTTCCTGCCCAGTTAGACATGGGCATTAGGCATGCTTACAGACTATCTTCCCATGACATCCTGGCTCTGATCAATTTTTGAAGGTCCAAGCATAAATGACTCCAGGATCTGACACCATTTTTGCCATCAGATGTGCTAACGTTGCTGGGGTCCCGGGAGTACCTTTCTCCATGCTAAGATAAATGCATTTTGTCATTCTCCTCAGTCAGTTGCTAGACTTGAACTCAGGGTTTGAGCACTGTCCCTCAGTTCTCCAGCTCAAGGCTAGCACTCTGCCACTTGGAGCTGCAAAGCAACTCCACTTTGGTCCTCAGCTCCACCCATTCCTGAGCTCTACCCTGCCCTGGAGTTCCTGCCCTACAGTTGGCCACTCCCTCTTTCTGCCCAGACCCACTGGAGCACCCACCTAACTTCCTGTCCCCAGATCTTCCTGCTACCTGGACAGGGAGGTGCCATGTGCTCCCTCTGGGGGGAAATATGGCTCCTCTAATATACCTTACAATAACCTTTCTCCTGTGCCTGCTTGCCTCTGGGTGGTCCCCTGGGATGGCTGTGAGGGGTCCTTTCATTGGATTGGTTCCCTGTGGGTTTGCTCCCCCCTCCACTTTGAATGGGGGTCTGACCAGCTTCCCCAGGACCTAGCCTGAGGTCCTACACTCCTGTCGCCAGAGGACCACCAAGGTAACTTTCTCCTGACCTAGCACTCTACCTGCTGCCCATCAACACTGGCTAATTAAGTCCTGTCCCAGGTTTCTGATTTCTGTATTTCCATAGTAAGGCCACCTGGGCCTTCAACACTGGCTAATTTAAATCCTGCCCCAGGTTTCTGATTTCTGTATTTCCATAGTAAGGCCACCTGCACCACTAACACCCCCCCCCCCCCACCCCACTGACAGAAATCTTGGCCAAGTACTCAGAACTCACCACTAAGGCATACCGTGGCCAAGGGCCCTGTGGAGAAAATGTGTCCACGTTTCCCATTGGCCCCCACCCCAACCTGTTACCAGCCTAATTGCACTGCTTAGGATGCTCTGAGCAAGCTTTTGGTTCCAGATCACTTACTCCTATTGCTTCCTCTAATGTTTTCAGGGTGTCTGCTTTGACGTTGAGGGCTTGGATCCATTTGGAGTTGATTCTGGTGTAGGGTGATACATAAGGCTCTAGGTTTAGTTTTCTGCAGGGTGATAAACCAATTTTGCCAGCACCATTTACTGGAGAGGCTGTCTTTCTTACATTCTATTTTTTGGCTCCCTTATCAAAGATTAGGTGGCTATGGGTCTGCATGCTCATTTCTGGGTCTTCGTTGCTATTCCATTGGTCCTCGTGTCTGTTCTTGTGCCAGATTACTATGGCTTTGTAGTAGAGTTAGAAATTTGGTACTGGTATTCCTCCAGCGCTGTTCTTGCTGCTAAGGATTGTTTATGCTATTCAGGATCTTTTACTGTTTCATATGATTTCTTGGACTAGTTCTATTTCCATGAAAAATTGGGTTGGGTAATTGATAGGTATCACATCGAATATGTACCTAGCCTTTGGAAGTATTGCCATTTTCACTACGTTAATCCTCCCAATCCAGTAGGATGGGAGGTTGTTCCACGTCCTGATTTCTGCTTTGATTTCCTTTTTCAGATTTGTAAAGTTTTCATTGTAGAGGTCATTCACTTCTTAGTTACCTCCTAGGAATTGGGGCCATTACCAAAGGAGTAGCTTTCCTGATTTCATCCAAACTCTTCTCCTTGTTGGCATACAGAAAAGCCATTGCTTTTCTACCCTGCTACTTTGCCAAAGTTTTGAATCAGCTCAAGTATTTTGGAAGTGTAGTCGATCAGCTTCTTTGTCTTTCTGAAGAGTTTCTCTTGTATCCTCTGAGAGTGTCTCTGGGTGAAATAGCTCCTCCATGTTGACCAACTTTCTGAGCCCCTTGGTGGAAACACTTA